GTCCAAAGACGAGGCGGGGTCAGAACGGGGTGTGGTATCAAGAAGGGGCCCGGGGGTAGCAGGTTCATGGACTAGGGCTGCCATGGTTAGGTTACTTCTTTCTTTTTGTTTTTAAGAAAAAAAAAGAAAGAAGAAAATAAAAATAAAAAAAAAAAGAATAAAAAAAGGGGGGACCGGGGAGGGATAGTTCCTAGGAGGAATGAAAGGGCCAGAAATCTCCCTCCGCGCCCAAGAGGACCTCAGCACCGCAAGTAGCGCAGATGCAGCATGGAACCCGTGCCATACCCTACCCATCATGCCAGTAAACCGGCAATCCGGGATAGCAACCTCACATCTGCCGAGCTACCTCGGTGGACAAAAGAGAGGGCGGCCGGAAATCCACCACAAAGCATACCTCCTTCGGCCACCACCCCCGGAATCCGAAAGGTGGCTTCCAGAGATACACCCGTCGCCCCAGAGACACCCAAAGCCACTCTCCGGGATACCGGACATCCCCAGGCAATCCAGATTCCACGGCAAACTACACCACCACCAAGAACCTCAACGGAATGGGATGGACCCCGGTACCCTTTCCCCTACCTAGGAACTAGCGTGCCTGTGGGAAAAAAAAAAAAAAAAAAAAAAAAAAAAAAAAAAGGCCAAAAAGGAAGGGCAAAAGGGAGGGGTGGGGAGGAGGAGGAGGAAAGGAAAAAGGGGAGGATGGGGAGGATGGGATAGGGAATGGGGGATTGGGGGTAATTAAGTTCGGTCTGAGGAAGTAGACCGACAGGTCTAATTCCTCAGACCAAGAGCCTCTTCACCATGCCAAGGAGCCCCCCTTGAAGAGGTTTCTCTGCTCAGCCATCAGAGAAAACATGTATGAATCTGCGTTGGGCCCAGCCACTCTTACACTCCGCTTTTGTTTACAATTTTCGGCATGAATTATTCATTACTTCTCCCTTCGTTTATGATGGCATCTAAAGGTAGTTGTTAGAAATTATTAAATTCAGTGAACAAGGTATGTCGATGTTAATAATATGGCTCTGGGCCACAGTGTAAGTAGCTGGTAGGTGTAGCCCAGGCAGGCTACACCTAACGGCTACCTACACTGACTTTATACAAATAAATACTACTCACCTCTCTTCCTATATTAAGACGACACATATTTTAAGGTAAATAATGAGTGTACTGTATGTGTACTTTACCTCTATGGGATGTTTTAAATATCGTATATTAAGTATGAGATGGAGAGCCAGGGCTACCTACACCTGGGCTACCTGCACCTGACTTCCTACAAGTAAGTACTACTCACCTCTCTCCCTACATTAAGATTATAAATACTTTAAGATAAGTAATGAATTTACTGTGAATGTATTTTACTTTGTGTGTTTTTAATGCCTAGTTCTATTACTAACTTAACATAATTTAGTGTAAACTTGTTGTCTGGCATTTATAAATGGAAAAAAATGGCGTTCTGCCTTCCGGCGATGTCTGCTTTCCGGCAACAGCCTGGAACCTAACCTACCATATAACCTGGAGTTTACCTGGAGAGAGTAAACTCCAGGTTATATGGTGGGTTAGGTTCCAGGCTGTTGCCGGAAAGCAGACATCGCCGGAAGGCAGAACGCCGCCCTTCTGTACTTTATTTTTAATTTATATATTATAATCAAATAAAGTTCTCCATGGGGAAGTGGAACAGAATTCTTCCTCCGTAAGCCATGCGTGTTGTAAGAGGCGACTAAAATGCCAGGAGCAAGGGGCTAGTAACCTCTTCTCCTGTATATATTACTAAATGTAAAAGGAGAAACTTTCGTTTTTCCTTTTGGGCCACCCCGCCTCGGTGGGATACGGCCGGTGTGTTGAAAGAAAGAAGAATCAAATAAAGTGCTAAACTGACAAGGGTCATGCAACGCTGCGGGGTAGAAAATAGTGCCAGGGCTATGTGCAGCTAGGTGGAGAGGGGATCAGAGGCAAGGGAAGAAAAGGGCTAGAAGGGATGTTAGGGGCTGTGTGTCAAAGTTTGTAGAGTAAAGCAGTTGCTGACAAAGTCAAAAAGTGATTGTAAGTCAAAGGCAGGACCTTCTGCAAGTAAGGAAGACAAGGGAAGAGCAGTAGGGTGGGAGCATTGGTAGAGGTAAATCTTGCAAGCGTGCTGGTAAACCGGACAATCCACAAGTGAACTGAAATAGATTCCTGACAAACCTCAGAGAGGAACAGGTTGTCATTCCACAAGATACCCATGGGTAAGGCGAGTATGGCCTATGCGGAGACAGGAGAGCGCAGTCTCCCAAGTACAGCAACGGTGGTAAGAAGATGGCCACAAACCCAAAAGTGGTTTAACGAAGTGCAGTTTTTTATAGTGCATCTCTGACCACCTTTGTTGCCAAAGGCCACGAAAATGGGCAGAGATGGTAAAATCCCTGAAGGAAATAACTCTATAGGAAACTAGAAGATCATGCACCACTGACAGCGCAGTAGCATCCGCCTGTTCATTGCCCTGCACATCAATGTGTCCAGAGACCCAAGAGAAAACGATGTTTGTTTTTAATAACTACACAGTGCAACCAAAGATGAATATGAAGGAGAAGTAGATGTGGGGGAAACAAATTGCTTAATGGCCTGTGAAGCACTGAAGGAATCCAAAACTATCACAAACGCGGAAAGAGACATACATGTAATAGAGAAGTGCTATGAGGATGACATACAACTCGGCAGTAAAAATAGTAGGCGAGTAACAAATGACCCTGGACAGCAGTCAGGGAACACTGCTGTGAACTCAAAGATATCAGAAGATTTAGAACCATTTGTATAAACAATGAAACGAAACCGAAATTGATCAAGAAAGAACGAGAAGCAGCCTTAGGTAGGAGAGCTTTGGTACATAGCAGTAGGGGAGAACAGACAAACCATCAGAACCTCCCAAGGGGAAGGGAAAAGGCAGATGCTACATGAACGTGCGATGGAGGCAACTGGACAGAAAAATCAGAGTGAAGACGAAGAGAAAACAAATGGAGTAAACAGGGGTGCCGATCAAATAACGGACTTCTGCAGGACATACAGGTGTGTGAATTTGACCCAAAAGGTCACTGAGGCAGATGTTTATCGCAGTATCCAAAAAGCTCACAATGCGGTATTTAAAAAAAAAAAATCTGAAATGGTAGAGAAAAGTCAATAACACAAAAAAATAGGAAATTTGATGAAAACTTGCAGAATTACATAGGCACAAAGTTAGTGGTCTGGGAGCAATTTATGAATCAGTGATTTCATTCACCAAGTCCTAGCTTAAGCCAATTTCAAAGCTCAATTCAACCAAATTCTTAACTATTTCTATGTTTAAAATTAGGTTACAACAAATTAATTGAAAAGAATAGTCTTCTGGTGAATAACAGAATCCAGCCATGGCCATCTTAATTCTATTGCATAATAAAGTTACTGTATCCTTCAAATGATTTCAAACAAAACCAAAGGTCTTTTTCTGAATAGTATACCTTCCCTTTATCAACTGAACATGAAAACCCACCCATTCAAATATCAGAACTACACTATAAAGTCCACAGAGGTTGGTAATTTGGCCAACTTTACACAAAATTAAAAAAAACTCCAAGTTAAAACAGTCTAAAACAAACACTGCAAACATTCCAGGCACTAAAGCAACATTTCCTATTAATCAAGTCCTCAGGCCTCTCCTATTTTCCCTATTTCTTAAATAATAAAATAGCAGGAATGAGTGGTCATGATTTGTGGCATCCCAATAATTAAAACAGACTGGGGGTGGTCTTACCCGTTCTCAGAAAAATTGTCACACATCAAATACTTCTGCTAATTTGAGCCTGATTTCAAGCTACTTCTGGCCCTGAAACCAACCAAAATCATGTCTTATTTCAATAGTATGTCTTCCATTCTATCAGGTGATGCGAAGAAATAGCCAATTAAACCGGGCATCAGGTCAGAGAATAGCTTTATCCATCATACACCATTTTTTTTTATATACAGTGGACCCCCGGTTCGCGAAGTCATCAGTATCCGATAAATCCGGTATCCTAAGCATTATATCGCAAAAAATTTGCCTCGGTTCCCGTTACAAAACCCGGTATGCGATACGATTCATACGAGACGTGTCCACGTGTGGCCTGAACTGCCCCGTGTGTGCTAGTGTTTACAAGCCAGCCAATGTGCGCGCATCTAAGGATACATTCGGTGCATTCCATATTATCACTGTTTTTGGTGCTTGTTTCTGCAAAATAAGTCACCATGGGCCCCATCAAGACCAAGGGTGCTAATGACTATTGAAATGAAGAGAGATAATTGCAAAGTATGAAAGTGGAGTGCGTGTGTCGGACCTGGCCAAGTTGTATAGTAAATCCCAATCAACCATCTCTACTATAGTGAGCAGGAAAACAGCAATCAAGGAAGCTGTTCTTGCAAGAGGTGCAACTGTGATTACAAAACAGGGATTCCCCTTCTAAATATTAAAAACTTCGACATTCTCCCCTCCTCCCATCCCGTCAATCACCACCAGATCTTCATTAAAGTTAAGTGTCAATTATTCTATTGTGATTATTCTATTGTTATTATTGTTATTGCAATTATTCTATTGCATTAAACTTAATATTTCATGTGGTAAAAGTTTTTTTTTTCATACTTTTAAGTGTCTTGCATAGATTAATTTGATTTCCATTATTTCTTATGGGGAAAATTGATTTGCTTTCCGATAATTTTGCTTTACGATGAGCTCTCAGGAACGGATTAATAACGTGAACCGGGGGTCCACTGTACTGTGCACTCACCATACACACATTCTCTTATGTCTGGGCTAAAATTTACCACTCGCAGATTGTCTGAGGGAGCTGAGCTTAAAACACAGATCTACATAAATGACCTCTGGCATCAATAACATGGATCTAAGTACAAGAGTGTGAAAGGGTTAAAGTCTAGTGAGGTCTAAATGAACACTATTTTCCATGTATCAGTGCATATTACCAAAATCATTAGCAATAAAAAAAAAAAATGATAGCACAAACCTTTGATTCTTCAAATCTGCCTCTGTCTGCTGCATCTATGAGGAAGACTATGGCATCTACTGCAGGAAAATAGTCCTTCCACACTCTCCTTGCTTGGTGATGACCACCCAGATCAAAAGTGGTGAATTTTATTTGTCCTATGCTCAGTTCTTCAGATGCTAAAAAGATATTTAGGAATGTTAGTGCAATACAATTTACAGTATATATTCTTATTTCAGACTGCATTGATAATTTAGATTGGTAATTAATAAATTAATAATCACATTTCTAAATAGAAATGTATACACATCACACTTGTTCCCAAAACATTCACCAACAAGTATATTCCTTCAGAACCTTCACTGGATAGCTCTAAGTAACAGAAGATTTAGCTTTATGTCAAGAGGCAAGTAAAAAGGTGCTGAATAAACAATGTGATTAGTTACAACAAGAGAATTAGGTTGGAGGGAGGGGGTAAAGGAGGTTTTGTGTGCGAGGGGCTTGGACTTCCAGCAGGCATGCGTGAGCGTGTTTGATAGGAGTGAATGGAGACAAATGGTTTTTAATACTTTACGTGCTGTTGGAATGTGAGCAAAGTAACATTTATGAAGGGATTCAGGGAAACCGGCAGGCCGGACTTGAGTCCTGGAGATGGGAAGTACAGTGCCTGCACTCTGAAGGAGGGGTGTTAATGTTGCAGTTTAAAAACTGTAGTGTAAAGCACCCTTCTGGCAAGACAGTGATGGAGTGAATGATGGTGAAAGTTTTTCTTTTTTTGGGCCACCCTGCCTTGGTGGGAATCGGCCAGCGTTAAAAAAAAAAAAAAAAAAAAAAAAAAAGCTATTGACTTCTAATGCATATAAAAATTTGATGAAATAAATTTGTGACAAGCACAGTATTATGGCATACTGTGTGACATGTCAAATGGTTTTACTGGTTGAAAATTAACTGGAATATCATAGTAATAATAGAAAGAAATTAATAGGTCTAACTGTGGACTACAAATTTAAATGTGATGCTCATACCTAACAAATGAAAGTTAACACTGCAAATACTCAAATTTGCTATTAGATATCACAATCTATACAAAAAGTAATTTACTTTTCCTTAACCCTTTGACTGTTTTGGCTGTATATACACCTACCATCCGACTTGCGACCGAGTTCGGTTCCGAGAAACCGGTCGTAAGTCGAAATGGTCGTAAGTTGAACTTTACTACTGAATATCAACAAAACATTTTTGTAATGACTATTTTATTGTTTTATTTTGGTGTTTCATGTTTTACTTTACTTTTTATGCTGTTAGTACTGTATTTTATACTGCAAGGTTTAGGATAAACACTGTGTACAACACAAATAGTTGTTTATTTCCCAGAAATTTGGCATAAAAAACACGATCATAAGTCGAGTGGTCGTAAGTCGAGCAGGTCGTAAGTCAGATGGTAGGTGTACGTATATGTCTTACGAGCCAGTGTTCTGGACGTATATATACTAAATAATTCTAGTGGCTTTAAATCAAGCAGGGGAGAACTGGTAGGCTCATGTGTGAGAGAATGGGTCTGTGTGGTCAGTGTGCATTGTATAAAAAAAATCCTGCAGCACGCAGTGCATGAAGAGAAAAAAAAAAACTCCGATTGTGTTTTTGGATTAAAACGCAGACTTTGAAGTGTATTTTCGTATAGTATTTATTTCCCAGTAAAAGTAGGCCTTAGACAAGGATGTGCGATGTCACCGTGGTTGTTCAATATATTTATAGATGGGGTTGTAAGACAAGTGAATGCGAGGGTCTTGGCAAGAGGTGTGGAGTTAAAAGATAAAGAATCAAACACAAAGTGGGAGTTGTCACAGTTGCTTTTTGCTGATGACACTGTGCTCTTGGGAGATTTCCGAAGAGAAGATGCAGAGGTTGGTGGATGAATTTGGTAGGGTGTGTAAAAGAAAATTAAAAGTGAATATAGGAAAGAGTAAGGTTATGAGGATAAAAAGATTAGGTGACGAAAGACTGGATATCAGATTGGAGGGAGAGAGTATGGAGGTATATGTATTCAAATATTTGGGAGTGGACGTGTCAGTAGATGGGTCTATGAAAGATGAGGTGAACCATGAATTGATGAAGGTAAAAGGGTGAGCGGTGCACTTAAGAGTCTGTGGAGACAAAGAACTTTGTCCTTGGAAGCAAAGAGGGGAATGTATAAGAGTATAGTTTTACCAACACTTTTATATGGGAGTGAAGCATGGGTGATGAATGTTGCAACAAGGAGAAGGCTGGAGGCAGTGGAGATGTCGTGTCTGAGGGCACTGTGTGGTGTGAATATAATGCAGAGGCTTCATAATTTGGAAATTAGGAGGAAGTGCAGGATTACCAAAACTATTATCCAGAGGGTTGAGGAGGGGTTGTTGAGGTGGTTCGAACATGTAGAGAGGATGGAACAAAATAGAATGACTTCGAGTGTGTATAAATCTGTAGTGGAGGGAAGGCGGGGTAGGGGTTGGCCTAGAAAAGGTTGGAGGGAGGGGGTAAAGGAGGTTTTGTGTGCAAGGAGCTTGGACTTTCAGCAAGTATGAGTGAGCGTGTTAGATAGGAGCAAATGGAGATTAATGGTTTTTAGGACTTAACATGCTGTTGGAGTGTGAGCAAGGTAACAGTTATGAAGGGATTCAGGGAAACCGGCAGGTTGGACTTAAGTCCTGGAGATGGGAAGTACAGTGCCTGCACTCTGAAGGAAGGGTGTTAATGCTGCAGTTTTATAACTAATGTAAGCGTGCCTCTGGCAAGACAGTGATGGAATGAATGATTGTGAGTTTTTCTTTTTCGGGCCATCCTACCTTGGTGGGAAACGGCCAGTGTGTTAATAATAATAATAAAAAAAATTACGAAGAAGGCCACTAGCATGCCTAGGCATTTCGAGCAGACTAATCCTAATTCTTACTCTTATATTGACACAGGATATGGAGCAGTACATTTTAATATACATTATTGCATACTGATATAAAAGTTTGGTAACTGAATTAACATTAATTTCATTAATAACAGTGAGGTAGTACAAAACATATAACAATACAGTGGACCCCCGCATAACGATTACCTCCGAATGCGACCAATTATGCAAGTGTATTTATGCAAGTGCGTTTGTACGTGTATGTTTGGGGGTCTGAAATGGACTAATCTACTTCACAATATTTCTTATGGGAACAAATTCGGTCAGTACTGGCACCTGAACATACTTCTGGAGTGAAAAAATATCGTTAACCGGGGGTCCACTGTATTACAATTAGTTAATTCAGTAATGGGAATGGTTTTATCTCGGCATGATACACTGTTACTATAAAAGCTCCTATATTTCAGGCACTTAGGACTAACTTTAGAAATTTGAAATTTTATCTTAATGTTTAATAAAAAAAAAACAAGTTGGGAATATCAACCCTTCGACTGTTTCAGTCGTATATATTATTCTTACGATCCAGTGTTTTGGATATATTACAACGCCAAAATTCTAGAGGCTTCAAATCAAGCGGGAGAAAGCTGGTAGGCCCACATGCGAGAGAATGGGTCTGTGTTGTCAGTGTGCACTAGTGCCAGCCCTTTGGTAAAGAGGGTGAGAAACACTAGAATTCAAGAAAAAGTTGGTAGAAAGATACGAAAGTGGTGGTGGTAGAGTGGTAGTGATGGTGATACACCAGCCAGGGTACTTCCCCCCCCACACACTAGCCAGGGGACTTTCCCCCCCCACACCAGCCAGGGGACTTTCCCCCCCCACACCAGCCAGGGGACTTTCCCCCCCCACACACACCAGCCAGGGGACTTTCCCCCCCACACACACCAGCCAGGGGACTTCCCCCCCCCCCACACACCAGCCAGGGGACTTCCCCCCACACACACCAGCCAGGGGACTTTCCCCCCCCACACACCAGCCAGGGGACTTTCCCCCCCCACACACCAGCCAGGGGACTTTCCCCCCCCACACACCAGCCAGGGGACTTTCCCCCCCCACACACCAGCCAGGGGACTTTCCCCCCACACACCAGCCAGGGGACTTTCCCCCCACACACCAGCCAGGGGACTTTCCCCCCACACACCAGCCAGGGGACGTTCCCCCCACACACCAGCCAGGGGACTTCCCCCCCCCCACACACCAGCCAGGGGACTTCCCCCCCCACCACACACCAGCCAGGGGACTTCCCCCCCCACCACACACCAGCCAGGGAACTTCCCCCCACACACCAGCCAGGGGACTTCCCCCCCCCCCCACACACCAGCCAGGGGACTTCCCCCACACACCAGCCAGGGTACCTCCCCACATACCAGCCAGGGTACTTCCCCACATACCAGCCAGGGTACTTCCCCACATACCAGCCAGGGTACTTCCCCACATACCAGCCAGGGTACTTCCCCACATACCAGCCAGGGTACTTCCCCATACACACATGATTTGATTCGAGTGGGACTTCCACACGAGTGAATAGAATTATCAAAGTTTATTGCTTGGAAAACACTGAAAATTGGATTGGGATGGTTTGTGAGGGACCTGCCTAGTATGGGCCAACAGGCCTGCTGCAGTGTTCCTGCTTTCTTATGTGCAAACATTTATGGATGAACATCACCCTGACACAGCTGTTGCAGGCCATGCTGGCAACATCTACAATGACAATGTTGTGTCCCAGTTTAAGGAAATTTTAACTCTTTCACGGTCGGGAGGCCCTCTCCTAAACTTGTTCGCGGGGTCCAAAATTTTTCTGGGGAAAAAAAAAATTCCTTGTGAAATGATAGAGAATCTTTTCCCAATCATAATGACACCAAAAGTATTAAATTTGATGGAAAACTTACGGAATTATGCTCTCGTGAAGTTAACAGTCGACGATGATTACGCATTGGCGATTTCGCCCACTTTGAGCCCTATTTTCGACCAATTCCAATGCACCAGTTGACAAAAATCATATTTCGCTAGAACTCCATTTTTTCTATCGAATGAGTACAAGAAACCACCCATTTACCAATTTCAACCATCCAATAAAGTGGTCAGAATTTGGCAATTTTGCCATTTTCACACAAATTTCTAAAGATGCCAATTTCCAAATAGGGTCCAGAATAAACAAGACAGACATTCCTGGCACTAAAATAACATTGCATCTGTTCATTAGTCACGTCACCAGGCCTCTGTTACATTTCTTTTGCTTTCCAC